CACGAAATAATTTTATTACTCTGATACCTTATCCATTTCTATTACAAAAGCCTTCCCTTTCTCTATACTATTATATAAATCCTCCCACTTGTATTCCTCCTTTTCTTCCCAACAGCACTTTAATATACTATATATCTTTGTCTGTTTTCTTAATCCTCCTCTTGTATCTCTCATGGTCCTTATTCATCTTAACCTCAGTTTGTCCATAGTAAGCTATCTCATTATCACATAACCTTAACGTGCAGACATCTATACCGAAAATCCATCTTACATAATCCAACATAATCTTCTTTAGACTTTCCCTCTTCTCCCATCACCATATTTTAACCCCATATGCCATAATGCTCTGTATCAAGTATTTGAAAAATACCTTATTTTTTTTAGAAAATCATCTCTGCATAATCCTTCCCTTAAATCTTCCTGGCTGATGTTTAGTAAAATATTTTGTCTAGTTTAAAGCCAATATTGATCTTTCTCTTTAATAATCGACTTTGCGCGTTCAACAGCGACGGAGACTTCGGCACCGTTATCCGAATTAGCTCGTTAATTGCTCTCGACGTTTTCCTTTAGCGCGGGCTGACTCCGCGGAAAACCAGCTCCCGGCTTCGCGAAATGGAATATTTGTCGCGGAAAATTAATATTTCCACAAAGTTTCTTTGCATTCGCCGCCGGGAGAAATCAGGCTTGATACACGACGCCGTAGAGGATCACAAACAACGATATTAATGAAGAACGAAAGTTTCAAAACTGACGCTCTAACTTTTCGGCAAGTGTTGACACGGATAAAAATGAAGAAAAACTTTCAAACAACAAAGTTTTGGATCATTTTAATCGAAAAAAGAACAACGTATATATATCCAATTTCCTTTTCTTTTGCTACATTAAATTATACTTATGCTCTGAATTTAATTTTCAAAACATTATACGGAAAGGATAACTTTATCAAAGTATCTAAAAATTTAGTTCTATACACAGATCTGAAAATAATTTATATAGCTAAATTTTTTGGTATTTTAGCAAAACCATCCCTTTCGTGTATACATCCTTAATAAAACAAATGGCAAGGTCTCATTGTTTATAATAATTTAAAATCATATAAATTCATTATAAAATTAAAAATTAAAAAGTTTATCTATTTTCTAATTTAATATTTAGTATTAAAAATTAAATTAAAAAATAAACAAACTCTTGAGAATGTTAAAATAAGAGTAAACAGTGGCTAATGAGCTAACAGTGGTTTATTTTAAGTACTGTAATTATTCCTATATTCTGTCGATACGTGACTTAAAAGTCGGATGGTCACAAACAGTTTGCATCAAATCTCTCTGACAGATTAAATAAAATTTATAAAGAAACTAAAAATTATTATTTATGCAAAAAAAATAAAGCAAAGTACTCACCCGCGCGTGCACAATCATGGAAGTCATATATCAAAAAGCAAAAATTATCAAATCATACGATTTCACTGAATTAGGTCGAAGCGAAAGTTATAGATGATATATAAATAAATAAATCAGTATTACCACAACAAATTTAAAATGGAGACGCTTGTTAAAAGAATAAACATTATAAAGAACACTACACCTAAAAATACTATAAAAATTAAATTTAAAAAATTAAAAAAAACAGTATATGTCATTATTGACAATAATAGAATATCAATTTAAAAGCCTCCAGTAATTGTAAAGGTGAAAATATGATTGATGTTGCAACGCGAATGCGCGAGGCAATATCCGCAATAAATTCCATCACAATGCAATCTAACACTTTGAACTATAGGATGCACGAACCTGGATATTCATCATCGCGCAAGTCACTATATTTCACGACGGTTCATTGATTAAAAACGATCGAAAGATAACATCCGATATCTAGAGACGCGTGCGTAAGCCAATGTCAACATACGAGATGGTTCTCAATCGCAAAATAGATTGTCTGGAACAAGAGACTAAATCAAGGCCTTTATTGATGCTATAAATAATCGCAATTGCACGATCAGAGTAACACTTCTCAAATTATTGTCTAATTACTACAGACATTTTAAAGATCATGTTTGATGTTAATATTAACTTGTCAATTTAATTTATGATACTATACTTATAATCCAACTATAGTTTAATAATCAATTTTGATACTGTTTCAAAATCGACAAATAATCAGTTTACAGTTTGCTTAAAATTGTAAAATTCGCACCAAAAAAATATTATTAGACACCAAAACCCACCTTGATGCGGAATATGGCTTTCTTTGCTTCGTTTTATTGATTATGTTTGATTTATAACTTTGTTCATGGAATGAAGTTCATACGTAATTGAAATTTGAAATAGCGTGTATAGTGTTACACGCACGCCGAATGAGGAAATGCTGGCGATACCTATGTAATACATGTCAGTACGGAACAAATATTCATGCTCGATCGAATAAAGACAGACACGCTGTAAATTGACAACCGTCATGCAACGGAACTAATTACAATTAAAGTCATACCAATTAAACGAATTGAGAACAATCAAAAAAATTTCAGATTGTCTTATAAAACCGAAATTCGCGAAAAACGATGTTTTACTTCGAAGAGATAGATTTTTTCTCTCGGATTTTCTTCATGCCATTCGAAGTGAGTAATTACATCGACAATTCATACATTTTAGACAATTTGCAGATTCGATTACTTTTGTTATTAGCTCTAATTCGTAAAATATATCAAAACTTCTACGAAGATTAAAACTTCATCGAAATTGCTGCAGCTGTAATGCGTGACTTCAAATAACGCCGAAAAATGAAGAAAAGCCGTTCAAGCGGAAATCTTGCAGGCGTGATTGTCGCATAATAGAGGAGAGGACAATCGCAGCTAACTAAATTAGAAGTGCGAGAAAGTACAAGGGACCGAAACACGCCCGCGGGAGCGAATATATCGGTTCTGAACTATCTGAAATCTAGTTTCGTGGGAAACCCGATAATTTGAAACTTTCGTGCGTGTGCTTGCTGTTCATCGAATTTCTCGATATAATACGCAAACGTTTATTTTATTGAACAAAGTACACGATAATAAAAAATTACTATTCGTGATAAAGTTAAATATAAAAACTAGGCATATATATATATTTTTTTTCGATTTGAAGACAATGTTCTATAATAATTATATAAAGGACATGATATTATGGCACCCCGTTTACACTATACAATAATTTAGTTAATAATCAGTATTTAAAATTAACAATTACACATTCGTTAAACTGTTGTTCAATTGATTCTAGATTTAAAGTTACGAAACATTTATCAAGACACTGTTTATTAAAATATAGTGACACTGCATAATGGCCTGAAGAGACATAGAAGTAAAGTGTGATCTTCGGTAAAAATAAAATTAATTAAATATTAGTGTCACAATATAACAACGAGTTATTGAACAAATAATTCTATAATTATATAATCTAAAATTCGACTCTTAATGTCTTAATATCGGAAATATTAAGAGAGATTATTATATAAATCTACTGACCATAATAACACATCTTCTCTTTATTATTAATCATTATAACATAATTATATTATACTAAATTTAGATAGACACAATTTTGAAATTACCACTAAATTTTGCAGCCCTCTGTGATTTTCATGAAACTGGAATACAATAGATTTATCGATCTATGAATGTATTTGCTTTACACGTTAAACAGCTGGACGCAATAATTAGATGGCGGATTAAATTTTGATACAATCCAAACACGACCTATGCGTGGCACAAACGTGTACGAGACAGGTCCCCTTTCGCATAATGTGGTCAAGCAGAAATCAGCGAGAAACAGAGAAAGGCAGATAACGATAGCGATTACTCTGCTTGAAAGAGCAGTCGCGGAGGAGAACGGTGAAAACGGGACTGACGTCTATTGTTTTCTCTGACGACGGTATATCTGTTGATTGTTCCTCGAGATGTGCATATGACGTCTAAATTCGCGTGGTTGTTAGATTTATAATTTATATATGAACCCAAAGACAGAAAAGAACCGCGTCATACATTTGATTAAAAATAAATCCGTGAAAGAACTCGAGGATTTTCACGGTGCATCTACACATATCTCGATGTTCTCTTCTTATATATATTCCAAGAATGAGAAAAAGAGAAAATGAAAAATAAAACAATTTTAATCGAGAAAATATAATTTACGAAATACTGCAAACCGTATTCTTTTCTGATTTTATAATGTTATGATTTTACTTTTACAACACGATAATAGTTTTTGTACAGGAATTTTATAATAATAATTTTTTTCTCTCGAAATCATTTTGGAAAACACGTATACATACATAAAAATTTATAGAAAAAGTAATATGATGTAAAAAATATAATTATGTATAAGAAATATATTTTTATCTAATTTAATAAATTGAGTTCTCCAAAATTATATTTGCGACAATTATTGTTGGTAACAAAGATATTATTTAAAAACGACATTCTATCATATAGATAATAAATTTTCATCGCAATGAAATAGTTTTGCATATCTATTTACACATACGATGAAAAAAATCCTGAGCAATCTTTACAAAATAATTCTTCATTCATTACATTCGCGGTGCGTCAAGACGACACCGAACAAAGGAGTTAATATAAACGGGACTGAACAAGCAAACAAGCCCGATAGCTTCTATATGCACACCGCGGCTTGTTTACATTTGTTTATTCGCGATATGAGCTGTGGAACACCATCATGTTGCCATCATGTTATTTCCTACATAGATTATAACACGCATGTTCATCCTATAAGGCAAAACAAAATATCATCGTATTCGAAATTTCTATCTCATGTATCCTTCATTTTATACTTTTACGTAAAATTTATATCACGTTAAATATTTATTTAAAAAATTTAACATAAAAATGTATATGTTTAAATTTTTTATCGGATATTTTTGTACATTCTACATGCAAGTGCGCGATAAATTAGATTAAAAATAATTATACAATAAAATACTATGTAAAAATATTTTCTTGCTTATAGAATGCCGACAGATGTGACCGGGGGCCCAGGACTCGCAGTAGTGGCAGGGGATGTTCTTACCCTGCGAGGCACAGGACTTGCTGCTGCAGAAACGTGGGCTCTCCTCTGCCAAGCAGCCCAGGCCCTCCAGGATCTTTTTCTTTCAAGTAAGTAAAAAAAATTTGCCATAATAAAATATTTCTATGTAATCCAGACACGTAATTTTTGGAGGTAGAAGGAAAAAGTAAGCACAATAATAAAAATAGAGATGCACAAAAATAGTTCTGATAAACTATTATTACACACACACACACTAATAAATAATATTTATTATTTAATATATTAATAATTAATATTTAATATAAGAAATATACTTATTTTATTCCAATTTTTATATCTTTAAAGAAAAAGATACGCGTATTATTACTATATTTCATATATTATCAATATACAAATAATAAATAATTATTATACGCGCTATGTTTCAATTGTTATCAAATTACGGATAAATATGAAAAAGTATGCACTAAATTTTGATAAAAAAAAAATTCCGGTACCGGGAATCGAACCCGAGCCTCCTGGGTGAAAGCCAGGTATCCTAGCCACTAGACCATACCGGATCACGTTAAATATCTCTCCAAACTTAATACTATATGAATAAGACATTCGCACTAAACGTATAATAAAAATTATATAATAAATATTTCGTTATATGGAAATTGTTCTTAATAATATCGAAAAGAATTATTTTCCTGACGGTAAAAATCTGATGAAAAATTGATTTAGTTCTGATTTCTCATATTCTTTTCATATAAAAAAATTCTTATAATTTTATTTATCGTATTTAATATTTAAAGTTAAAAATACCATAGGTATATGTAAAATATATTCATTGTCATATTTTACACATATTGTTACTACTCGTTCCTCTTTCATATTCCCTACTTGGGATTTACTCGGATCTTCTCCGCTTGCGAGAGTAAAAAATAGCCGAAGATGATCCGTCCACAAATCTCGGAGGCTTTTCAGAAAATATTGGTCAAGTTTGTCATAAGCTTTCACTACATGTGACACAGCTTAACATGTCTCGAATACAAAACATTGCATGAAACTGAAATTTTATCGTGACAGTAGTAGTATCACTTCGTAATTCAAAAGAAAAATCAAAAATAAAATTTGTAAATAAAATAACAAAATTTAACGAAGATCAATAACAAAAACAAAGTGCGAGCAATAGGAGTCGATACAAAAGGCGTATTTACCTTAATAGTAAAATTTAATTTTAACGACAATTATACATAAAATTACATAGATAAAAACAGTGACGCATTGTCATAATGAAGTTCGTCATTTTTTATCGTTATTTTATATAACCGTTGTTAAAAATAAAAATATACATCGTCTTTTACATCGACTCCTATTGTTTATTTTGTTTTTGTCATTGTATTTTTTGAATTTCGGGAGTCCTTTGACAGTTTAATTTTTAGTTCTTACAATCAATAACATTGTGTTGCAATTGCAAAATTTATTGATAAATATCAATGTTTGTTAATGTAGAATTTTATGTCTCATTATATAATACTGTTATCAATTTAAACAGAGAATAGGATTTTAATCTCAATATTTGTTATTATTGAAATTATGACAAATTCCAGAATTTCTGAACAATATAGGCACAAAATTCTATTTTACAACATTCGTTATTGATAAAAACTAATATCATTCGTGGTATATCATTTCATAAAAATATTGCTATTTACATTTTCCATTCTTGTGACAGCGATAAAATACCTCACACAGAAAAAATTCGCGTCTTTGGCGCAAACAACGAAATATTACACACAAAAACGTTTTCGCAGAATACATTGATGTCTTCACGCACATTTCGTCGCCAACAATACTTATTACTCATATTTGATTGATTTCACGCATCGACAGCCGTCGAAAAAATATCTTCTGTATGACGAGATGCGCTATAAAAATTGTATCCTTTCACCTTATCTATCCGCAGGCGCCAAAAATCCTTGGCGATCGACTTACGTGATTGATGAAGCATCAAGAACTTGGGTAAAGTTTTTTTTCTCTTGATAAAGAAAAACAAGAAAGTTCATTTATCTAATTAAACTTATTAAGCCATTGGTTCTACCTTTCATTATTCGTATCGTATAATTTACATTACGTAATCAATTGTCGTAGCATTTGGACGTTTGCTACAATAGTACAAAATATAAAGCGGATGACATATATAAATTTTTCTAATAAAATAGAATATGCAATTGCATAAATTAAAATATGCAATAGAATACGTAATATGCAATTCGACATTCTCGCAGTGAATATTAATCATGGACATCTATTGTATGCTTCGTCGTTACGTTTATTTATATATCTTATCACGCAATTAATAATACGCATACGAATTTATTGATTATCGTGTGAATAGTTGGGAAGTGCACAACTGCATTTTGTGTATGACCGTATGTTTGCTTGACAAATAAATCATGAACCACGTAAATTCCATCGAATTCCAATTCTGCCTCTTTTGTCACGCAGCCATTTTTATTATGCTCAGCAGGAAGCCCACGCCCCGCGATAACCATATTATAATACCATTTCATAAGAGCGCGATCAGAGAAACCGCAATGCGTTCGTTAACTAAATTTATTAATATCCACGCCAACATTCTTCCCTGTATTAGAAAAATTCACAATGCACCTGGCGCTGTATACACGTCATACACCATATCGCCGCTCTTTGCCGATTCACGTTCCCTATGGCGATAGGTAAATTTATTATTCGCGCGATATTAACACTTTTAAGATGTACATTACTACGAAAATTACGTTGTCGTGAACAAAATGAAGATAGCTCGATTTAGTGCGACACGGGACAAACATTTCTCATGATATTATTTAGAAGATATGAGACAGAATTGTATAAGCAGAGAGCTCCCGATTTGTTCGTCTAAATTTAAATCCTTTTAATTTAAATGTGAAATTTATTCGTCTATGTTTAAATAGATCTGTGAGAAACAGCAGTGAGAAACTGTAAACGGAATCCGAAACGGAATATTACGGACGATGCATTCTAAAAAGGATCGATAATATCAAAGATGGACAAAGGACAAAGGCCAAGAGGTCGGTGGGCTATTAAACCGCGGGTATCGCGACGATTACGACGTTCTCTAAGCAAGTCAAACATCGGACAGGCGTCAACGTTAAATATTCAATAATCACAAACCGTGTCGAGAGAGGGGCGTCAAAGAGATGCTGCTAATCGAGTAATCGACGACGCTGTCGCAGAATTAATCGCATCATCGAGCAAAGCCACTGTTACGGCAATTGGCTTATCCGTAAAGTTGCCCTTGTTATAGATTAAACAACTTTCCTATACAGATATTGAACACACATACATACACACATTGCAGGATTCTCTTTAATGAGATGCATCTATAATAGAATTACTCTCTCGAATTACTTTCTCATTGCTCCTGCAGGAAATCTAGGAATATGTATTCATCTCCAATCTACTGCATACATGTATTGTAATCTGGTAAGGTATTATTAGGCAATAATAATAATAACTTTATTGATGTACAATTATAAAGAAAAGAAATTATGCAATAATAGAGCAAAACGTAAAATAAGAAAAGAAATGCATAATTAAAAGATGAGATATCGTTTACATTATACTGAGAAAAATGTCTGGTTGAAAATAAACGAACCAGGAGATTCTGATTACAACAATCATTTCAGTTAAGATAATTTCAGTTATTTCAACTAATAGAAGTCTAGTAAATTTAACTACTAATCGTCCATTTTTAATCAGATAAATTTCAATTAATCCAATGAGACATCTTTTTATATATAAGAATCTGAAATCCTAGAAACTTAGAATCTCAAGAAATAGCTTTCTTTCAACTACATAGTTCTCGAAAATTCGCATGTGATCTCAAGAAGTATCTTTCTTAAAAGCTTTTGAATGACTCAAAGAGAATGTACATTACGTCTTTACTGTCTAATGTCAAATCGCAAAAAGACATTTAGAATATCTCGAAAATAGCCGTGGCTTAATACACTATCTCTTGATAAGAACTATTTAAATTTGACATGATTGATATCTACTTGATTACGAAAATATCGAAGAGAAAGATCGTAACACTATGTTAGTATCGATGATATCCGGGGGATAAAGATTTGTGAAACAGTAAATTACAGAGGTCAATATAAGTTTGTACTTTTTGCTTGACAGTGCTGGCATCGAACTTAACTAATGGAGGCAGTGAAATATGGATAGTAAAGCTAAGTAACGATATATCTTCGGTATCGAAATATCCATCAGCGTCCCCTTCTCTCTCGCTATCGCGCGAGATTAAACGCGTCAAGCCGCGCTCAACGTTGCGCCAGACTCTCATTCTTGACTAACATACGCGCGGCTTAACAGGCGTGTTTACAATGTCGGCAATTCGGATCCTCCAGGTTCTCCCCCCGAGATGGCCGTAAGGTATCCTGCACGCGATTGCGATGCCGCATAGCATGACTCACGAGCGTATAATAAGCGGTGCATCGCAGACACCGCAGGGCAGGGCCCCAGTATCCAAAATGCCAAGAATCCATCCCTTAATTGTGAAAAATAAAACTTCATCTTGTTCGTTGATTTTACTACAAATGCGATTTCTCCAAAAAATCTTGCAAATTTTGCAAATCTCAGAAAAATCTTGCAAGCATTGAGATTACCGAATGTAGTGTAATAAAATATTTAGATCGCGTGAAAGAGATAGCGATAAAAATAGATAAAGAAGAGGGAGAAGGGAGATAAAATATTTTATAAATCATAATTATTATTACAATTTATAAAATATTACTAATATCATTAATACTAGAATAATAATATTATATTTCTATCAAAATGTTCATCTCATAACATTACCAATATTATAAATACTACATTAACGTTATTAATATTATAAATTTTATTAAATAATTAAAATGTTTTAAAGCAAGGGGCTATAGTAATATTATTATTAACAATATTAACATTTCCCAATTCTGTATAGAAATATATAATTTTCGGTATGTACCTCAAAAATCATTCACGCGAAATAATTTAACCGCACGTCCTCGAAATAAGCCCGCGTCGGAACCGCCGCGCCGGAAGCTCGGAATTA